GATCGCAATGACATGCGGTGGGTGGAGAAGGGGTAAGTCAGTGTTATAGCTATCGTTGACGATGTTGTGCGCAAGACTCTGCTCCTCTGGAGACAGCCCCAGTGTAGAGCTGAACTCACCTAAGGAGCGATATGGATGGTGCAGGATCAGCCGGCTACGTAGGGTGCTTATCATTGCGAATTCGCATTCGCCGATCTTGCCACTCTCTGTCACTCCGAGCTCAGCCCATTGCCGAGCAGCTTCTCCAAGCATGAGGCGGATGTGTTGAGGTGACTCTTCCATTTTACACGCGAGATAGACGGCTGTTGTCATGATGAGGTATGGATTCGTTCTCTGGAAAGGTACCTGAGTGTAGAAACGCTTCATGTAGATCTGGGCGGTCGCGAGCGGCTGCTGCCGCAGAGCCATCCGTTTCGCAAGTTTGCAAAGGTTGCCCTGTAAGAAGATGTTTATATGCCTATGATCTGGCATAGGATGCTTGGCGAAAAGTTGTGGATTGGTTTTCTCCTGTTCCTGGCGAATGTTGGCAAGTTCGGGCTTGGTGAACGTCCAAAATTTGGCCTGGCTACTGTCGTAGAAATTGGCTGCCATCTTTGAATGATCATGCCCTAACGGGCTTACGGTCTGGTCGTAGTCGGATACTTTCTTTGGGGAGAACACTAAGGCAAACGACCCTACTATCCATAGGTGACGCTGACTGCCGACTTGAACCGGTCAACCGAGAAGTAATGGAGGTACCTCGCACAGCCGTGTTTGCCAACCTGTCCGACTTATCGTCTTGGCGCTCCCTGCAGCCAAAGCTTCGAGCTAGGTTACCACAGCTCGGAACTATTATTTAAACCCACCAGAAGTTGTAATCGTTACCTACGGTCCTCAAATACTTCTGATAAATACAAATCCTAGTCGAGTGTTAGCTCAATACCTGAGTGAGGTTCGCATCCTATCAGTGCACCTATCAGTGCATAATCAGTAAAAGCAAGCCTCCTATAGAAGTATTACCGAGGCAGCAAGGCGTCGTATCATTAGACATAAAGTCAGTGCGATCAAAGATGAACTTAGACGAGACTGACCCACCCGTCCAAGGACTCGGCCACAATCTGGACGTGCACGCCTCTACTTTGGAAGCTCTAAATCCATCCAGCTACCAGGACAGTCTTTCCATTGAGGACTTTCTCGCTCAGACTCCAATCGGAGCAACGACTAATCTCAAGCCTGTCGGAGGCCAAAAGGCTCCAGCTGAGAATGCAGCCTCGTTCAACCAACTTTGTCAACAGTACAAACTACAGCCTCACTTTGAGTTTAATGAAACGACACCTCAATTTTTCTCGGCGAAAGTACAGTTTGGTGAGCACGTGTTCGAGAGCGACGAACCACTTCCATCCAAGAAGCTGGCTAAGGAGGCCATCTGCAAGCGTGGATTGGATCTCCTGCAGTCACTGCCTGAATCAAAGAAGCGAGAGCTCTCATCTGCAGCTCAACAGCCGCTACCTACCAGTGCCGAGCTTCACAGTGAGGAGAATTACGTCGGGCATGTGAATGAGTGGTGCCAGAAAAAAGCGCTACCTACTCCCCATTTCCAAGAGTATGAAGCCAATTGCAGGGAGGCCCAGGTTAATGGATTATGCCAGGCCGGTAGAATGTACGCAGTTGCATTGACTGTCCCAAGCGTCCCTCACATTTTCGGTGGCGAGAAAGCACTCTTCCCCTCCAAGCAAGTTGCGAGGAGACACGCGGCGAAAGAAGCTGTGATCTTCCTCCGCGGCAATGGGTTGCTCGAAGCCAGTCCCAACCAAGAATCATCCAAGCCCTTTAGTTCTCCTCAGGAAACTGCGAGCGCTGCGGCGCAAGTAGTTGATCTCGCTCTGTCACTTGGATTTAGTCAACCACAGTACAATTTCACTCCAAGCTCCCCTCCACCGAAAGCCATAGTCAACAACCCTTCTGCGTTCGTTACTGCAACAGCAACATTCCTATCTCAGGACGTTTCCCGTTGCCCTCGCCTTCAGGGCAACCTCTGCGAGGTCTCTAACGTCTTCGGAAAGAAGCGAGCGAAAGAGGATTGTGCGAGGAAAGTTCTTGCACTTCTCCAAGATATTAGAGAAACGAGACTAAATGAAACGAAAGCGGCAGGAAATAGGCATTGAGAGCTTGAAATGCATGGGACAGTATGACCATCAAGATTGATGAGCGATGACACAACAGCCCATGGACGGGTACATGACAATTGCATAACTGGCTTCTCGGTCTTATCAACTTTGCCTTTGAAGAATAACGAGCTTCTCTTAATGCATATCAAGTAGCTACAGAGTTGAACGCAACGAAAGTAAAGTGCCATGCTCAAGGAATGAGAGCGCGCAGGGTACGACAGGTGCAGATACCACCACATACGATGTCTCCGATCTACAACGTAGCTGTGAAATGACGACTTCTCTGCATTGACCTAGGTATTCCCTCTTTGCGACTTCTCCTGAGGACACATTGATAGACAAAGCCACAAGCTAGCGAGACCAACTAACGAGGAATCTTCTATGTCAATCTACAGCCGTGACAGCGCTCGAAAGTAACGAAGATTTGGTTCTATTATCGGCTTCATTGTCGCTTATCTGTGATGCCGCTTCCAGTTGTTGGAATTCTTTGAGTACCAAGTTGACAAACATAATCTTGACCGCCTTCAAGTTGACATTCGTGTCACTCTTGAAGTTAAGAGGCTTATTCCTCAGTGTCCGCTCGTCGCGAATCGAGAGGGAGCCAGATGTCGTCCTCGGTATCAACCAACACACTATCCTTACTTCTACAGAAGAGGCATCTCTCTCCCGTGCAGTCGCAAATCGATGGTGACGGGAAGGTCGCACAGAATCAAGACTAACTTATAGCAGTGATCTTGAGCGCAGTTCAGACAAGACTTGTTCATAGGCAAGAAGCAATGGCTGATGAGCTTGATAGTGCATCTAATAGTACCACTACGCGTATGCTACTAAGCCACGACATGACGTGAGAGGAATTCAGCCTGCTCCATCTACTTCAGTCGTACACATCCACACCGTACATCGCATTACGGTCGACAGTTTCTCACGACGTTCAATATTACAGGCTACCAAAGCTCCTCTATTCTGTAGCCCAATAGCAGAACCTGGCGATAGGCGGCACAGCCCGCAACTTTCCTATCACACCAGAATAAGACTCAGGACGCTGACAGTTCGGGCGACAGCAATCCTAGAAGTCCCCCGCTTGCCCTAGCCTTGCATACATTTGATAGGCTTTTGCATAGATAATAAGATCCAAACCCCCAGCGGGAGGGATTTCGAAGCGTACAATCGCATTCCATAGAATCATGTCGTACAGGTTTGATGGAAAAGTGTGCCTCATCACAGGCGCGGCTTCAGGCATTGGGCGAGCTACCGCCCTGAAGATGTCTTCTTTGGGTGCCGAACTAGCCCTCAGCGATATCAATGAAGCAGGATTGAAGGAGACTCAGGAAGCTTGCAAATCTACTAGCGCTTGCCAGCATAGTCTTCAGACTCTCAATGTAGGCGACAGCCAGATGGTCAAGTCGTGGGTCGAAACTGTGGTGTTGAATCACGAACGCATCGACCATGTTTTCAATTGCGCTGGCGTGAACCCTACATCCTACCGTCTGGAGGAGACCACGGATGAATACTGGGACAAGCTTGTCGACACCAATCTCAAAGGGACGTACCTCGTCACGCGCACGGTATTACCGCATCTGGCAGCAGGTGCTAGCATCGTCAACGTGAGTTCTACCATGGGTATCAACGTTGCAGCGACCTACGCCATATACTGCGCAACAAAGTTCGGTATCATTGGCTTTACAAAGGCAATGGCAATGGAGCTTGGTCCTAAGCAGATCCGCGTCAATGGTGTAGCACCAGGCTACATCAACACGCCTACAAATGCTGGTATTCTCGAAGGTCCTGCCAAAGTGAAGGAACAGGAGAGCAAGATCGCGCTTGGGAGGTTTGGCACTGCTGGTGAAGTCGCCGATGTTGTCGCATTCCTGTTCAGGTGAGTAGAAGCTGTCTATCGATCTCGCAACTGAAGCTAACACATTGTCTCAGCGACGAGGCGAAGTATATGAACGGCAGCGTTGTAGAGGTTACTGGGGGTAGAACGTAGCATGCCTTCGGTTTTCTACGTTGCATATAGATTGAGCTCCCTGGCATTTCGAATACCGTTCCCTCATTCTCCCACTATTACCTAGACGGGTCGAGACTGATTGACATACTTGTCGATCGTATACTGAAAACCACCTATTGCATCTGATCTAAAGTATTGCCTGTATCATCAGTCTCAGTGATTCCTCGGATACGAGCTGAAAGTCTTTGGTGGGGAAGGCGTCGTGCAATGAATCAGGAGATTTCGATGTGTGCAGCAAGTCTAGACTGGCGCATGTGACTGTGGGATTTGAACACGACGTAAGACGGACTTCACGATCGCGATAATACTATGATATATGATCCTTCAATTGGTAGCGTCGTAGACGGAGATTAGCTGTCTTGGTGTTGCAGGCAAACACCGTACCTTTCTCCACGTAAGATTGGCCACTCCTCCAAGAATCCTTCTTGGCAACATAATCTTGCGCCTTGCCGTAGACTCAGCTGTACAAAACATCAAACCCCCTTTCATCTTCATCATCGCCCTAAACCTTTCATACAATCGCTGTTGGTAGTGGGATGCCAGAACACGCAACTACGCCTAGATGCCCATGACACCACCTGGGAAGCATAACATATTAGTTGTAAGAGCTTCCGCGTCACTCTAAAACTTGCCGAAACCCGTTTCTATCCTCACCGGTGGATTTGAGAGATCAAGGCCTAAAGTGGATTGAACATCAAACTTGTTTCAGCAGGGAGAGCGCCAGGGTCAACGTAAAGATCATGATTTGATTTGAGACTGCGCTTTTATATATGATTACGCCGTCCTGCAGCTTCAAGAAACCAGTGAGCTTGCTACTCATTGATATCCGATGATGAATTTCATCGGGTGGTGTGGTCTAGTGGTATGACGTCACGTTGTGGTCACAGACAAGCACCGTGCCAGCCCGTGTTCGATTCACGGCACCGCCAAAAATCGAATTGTTAATTTTTTGGAGGTTCTTGACCCGAGAGGTTGATGTTCCGTTCTTATCATGATAATTGTTTTCGCGATAGCATATCGCTACCGATGATTGTTTCTGCCTCCGGTATCTCAGAATCCTCAGCTGGTCAACAGTATCACACAGGGTTTAATCTCTTTTGTAAATTCACCAAATTGTGCAGGTGATGAATTTCACAATCAACCGGCTGATGGGGTGGAAGCAGTCAAGGGTTGTTGTCAATCGAAGCTATCGAGACAGTGCAATACCGGTAAAGCCAAACAGCAGACCTCGACCATCAAACTTGATTCATCGAACTTAGACTATGTCAATCATGCACACGATAAGATGAAATGGTCGTATTAGAAGAGCAAATGCCTTACGATATCACACAGCTTCTACTTTCTCGATTGATGTCGACGTGCAGCAAAGACAACCCACTTGGGCCGCAGTGCATCGTTAAGGGAAAAAACCGCATCCGATGCATCAAGTGCGGCGGACGAGTTTGGGACACTGATTCGTCGTCGTCTATCGAGATTATCTGCTCAAAACATTGAGTCTTGCCAGAAGATAGCTAGCTGCAAGCGAAGGTCGAACTGGGTTTTTCAGGCAGTACAATCCGTAGGACCTACTTGGGATCGTCTTGCCTTACTACCTCCCTCAAGATCATGATAGGAAGCTGCAAGGCTCATACCATTTGAAACATCTAACGATAGACATAAAGTGAGGAATCTGGCCATTTTGAGAAGTAGTGAAGTATACTCCACTCTCTGGCGTAAAAATGCTAAGCACTAAATGCATTATGCAATCTGAGTGTATGTTCTTCTGGCCCCTACGAAAAGGAGCGGATGAAGGCCGCAACGTTCCAAGACACAACTAAAGCAGCACTTGCCATCGTCATCGTGTCTACAGCTAGGTAGCCTTGTGTTCAAGAAGCTGGTTCCTCATGAGCAAATTGCAAATTACCATACCTAAGAAGGTGAAGGTTGAGTCAAACCAGAACCGCCACATGACGTTAAATCGACTTGGTCTAGTACACAAGCTTACGTATTTCTGCTAAACAATACTATTCGAATATCCCTATTCGCTCGATCGACACCAAGTAATGCAAAGCGTTCAGTAAGCTCGTACAAGGCCAGACGCACCCATGGTATCGTAGTCCTTTGACAGATACATAGATCTAGGGCGCAGCAGCTCCATTGGCAGCCACCCACTGGGCGAAAGCTACCGGGTTCCTAGTCTGCATGAAGACCGTCCCTGGACCCGTGAACTTACAGACTAACCCTTCGCCAGCGGCAATGTTGCTCATGATGCCACCACTCGCCATACGCTCAAGGACGTACTTGCAATTCCAAGCCACCAGATGGCCGTTGTCGATCATGTACCGCTCGCCGTCCAACAACTAGATTCATTATCTGTCAGTGTCTCCGCAGCTTCTCTCCCATATTCATTCAGAAACTTACGTCTTTTCTGATGATCGCGCCAAACGATTGCAGCCATAGAATGCCCACGCCTGAGAACTTGTACACAAACAACCCTTCCCCTGAGAACATGGCCTTGCTGAAGCTCTGCGCCTTATAATCCTTCGTCACTCCCTGGGTGCATGCCAGGAAAGCATCCTTACCGACTGACCAAGTCTCACTGCCCGTGAGCCTGATGTTGGTGACATCACCTAGCGAGAACGGGGCGAGCAGGAGTTCGCCGGGCCCAGTGTACTTGGACGTGGTCATCTCACCACCTACAAGCATCTTCTTCAGCGAGAACTTGACAGCACCCTTGAGGGTCATGGTCGGGCTCATGGCGATCATGACACCAGGCTTGGCCTCGAGAGGAGCGCCGATCGCCAGCTGTATGGTCAGGATCGTATTGCTGTCGCGGTGGGATATTCTGTAGCTCCCACCGTTGAATGTGCCCACATCGTCGGTCGTGGCCTGCGCGCCTGTGAAGTGGCCCTGCGGTGGTGCACCGCCAGGCATCATCGAGGCGCGTGAGGTGTCATAGGTCTGCTGCTGCTGTGAATACGGGTCTTGCTCTTGTCTCTTCTCCTGAGGGAACTGGTTGCTGGCTTGTGGGTGTTGCTGTGAGGGTGGGCCTGGGTAGTATGGCAAGGTGTGCTGCTGTCGCGGATCATGGCCCACATTGCCGTCTGGTGCGGGTGGGGAGACTGAGGGTGGTGGCGCGAAGGAAGGAGCTGATTGTTGGTGAGGTTGCTGGGCGATTGGCGACACGTCCGGCGAGCGAGATGGAGGCGGTGCGTACTGCTGTGGTGGTGGAGCATACTGCTGTTGCTGCTGCCCTTGCCCTGGAGGTGGGGGGTAATAGCCCTGCTGGCTCTGCTGAGGGGGAGGCGAGTAGGTGTGCTGCTGTATTTGCTGCGGATGTTGTTGGCCTTGTCCAGGCGGTGGAGGATAATATTGTCCGGACATGTTTGTGCGCGTAAACACTGTGTCTACCAACCGAGTCTTGCTGCGTCTGTCCAAGCTACTGTAGCTTCTGTGGGATGTACGCAAGGGTATCCAACGTGCTCAAGAGCTTGTACGCAGACAGTAGGGGGACTATGGGTATTGAAGAACTTCGTTCAGAGGCAAGGAGGAGGGCTAGCTGTTCTACCTCCCACGTCCTACCGCAAGCATACCGGTCTCCTACGACCTCCTACCTAGAGGCCGCGCCGAGCAAATGTGCATGTGCATGTGCATGAGCTCGCTGCGACTGTGGTCTGACTGTCATTGGCCAAGGTGCGGCGCTTCAGTCTGAACCCCACACGAGGTCGGCGGCTGGATGTCTTGGGGCGTCGAGGGGCCTGCATGACATGTATGGGGCCATCCTTGGCCAATCCTCCCGCCCATACATATCATCAATCCAGCCTCGCTGCAGCAAACTTCCCGCTCGAGAGAAAATTACATAGACACGATCAGGCTGCGAATGTTGTGCACTGCAGACCGACCACGACGCCTCACGGGTCAAGGTGGACTGATCGTGTTCCTGTGCTCGCTCCAATAGGAGTATCAATACCTTGGATGGAAATGTAGTACAGCCGTCCAATTGCTGTTTTCTGATGTATTCATGTAGGACACTCCCAAGGCATCATCACTCGCAGTCTGGAAGAGCGCCTCATCAAAGGATGGCTACCACGTTGGTGTCAGCGGCCCTAGCTTTGAGGCGCAGTCTTTGTGTTGCTGCCGTCTGGCGATGGAGATCGGCCTCGATGACACGCACCATTGGTCTGTCAAAAAGAAATCTCACATCAGATGCCTTGTCATGTCAATTGCTTGTACTTATGAAACCGCATGCTTGACAAGACGGCAGAGGAGCCAAACGTGACATTAAGTAAACACGCAGCAGGGTTGAAGTCAGTCTTGAACATTCGTCACTCTTCCCAAGAATCAGGGTCCCGTCATTGCATCCGGCAGCGCCTATGTACACACGAGGCAGCTTGCTGTATGTGTCTAAAACTGCATATACGGGACACCCATCGATACAGACAAAGCGTTGCCCTTGAGCCGCTGAAGTGCGCCATTAGCTGCAATCATACCCTTCGCAGTGGTTTGCTAAACTCCATATGCTCATAGAGTTCTCGTCTACTAAAATCTAGGGCCTTTCACCCGAAGCCAAGCAGGACGGCGCAAGTCGGTCCTCTTGAAGTTCTCAGGCCCATTGACCGGCCTGAGCAATCCAATTAATTATCAAACAAACACTCTCACAGATTCATGTCATCTGACACAGTAAGGTAGCCGCCTGTAACGGCTTGCGCCGTAATCAGTCATTAGTGGACGTCCGATGCTCTAGGCCGTAATGCGACAGGCACAATTGTCCTTCTCATCCAAACCGTTTTAAAACATCTGAGCAGCCACATACTATGCTGTTCGTCTGCATGCACTTCGCTTATCTCCACATTGGTTAAGATCAAGTGTATAGATAGGTATGTTAGACTGCAGACGATTACCTGAGTGGGTTTCTCTCGCCATGAATTCAATTAAGGGTAGGCGAACTCTCCCTATCTTCTCCGGGGTCTCCTATGCTCTTCAGTGTTGCTACAGCTGGGCCTGAATGCAACAGCTATCTGCCACAACGTGAAGCCAACGACCGGCCACTACTATGCATAGTAGAGACAACTTTGTACTTCTCACGTTTTAGGCGTCGGGCCAATCTGATTTCGGAATTGGGCATGGCGAACAATGAGGAGTAAAGGAAGACAGAAACGCTAGGGCTCACGACCGAGAAATACCACATCTTCCAAATAATTCTTGGCGATTAATGGCTACAATCTCATTGTTCGCTATTCAATGACATCGAGGTAGTAAGTCGGATTGACTTTGATGGAAACAGTGACAAGGCCAATACCCAATCAGCAGATGCACCGTCAAGGCGATAAATCCAGGCTCACGCACAATGGGTCGCCTGGAGTGGCGATATTGCTTCTGAGACTAGACCTCTTCGACTACTGTTGCTTATCAACTATACTACGGACTGGGCAATGGATTATTTCGCCCTGCAAATATGGCACGGCTAGACTCCCTAGATTCGGAAAAGGATATCGATGAAGTGAGCCTGCTGACAGTCAAGGCAAATCAAGTCCATGCGCAAGAACCCTTGTACATCAGACTTCAAGATAGGGTGAGTAACCTGCCGTCACGGGAGCCGACCTCGAAGACATTGAATGCATATGGAAAGACCAGGAGAGAAAACAATACAACCCTTTTGACAAGGGGTCGATGCCGGGGGTTTTCACCTCTTTTCAGTAACGATGTTTCGTGGATTTCTTGTGTGACATTTTTCGATAGCTTAGCTACCTGGCCACCACTAAAGCGGCACTCGATGAGCTTCTGCAGGGCACGGCGTTCCATAGAGAGCGCACAAGACTTGAGGCGTTTGCAAATACAGCATTGCCATGCCCTAGTACGGCTATGAAGATTACAGCAACATGTCTCTACTCAGGCTCCCAGTGGCAGATTCTACAGTCGACTATCTCGTGCATTGTACTCTCTATGTATC